ACCCCTGTAGCCACTGAGGACTGAGGCAGGACTGCGAGTCTACGCTAGCCCGGGCCACACGTGAGCCCTTCTCTAAAATTAACAAAAAACGCTGTGGGCTTGACACTGTCCTTGGCCTGAAGTGACCCCCAGTAAGTTCCTGCACTTCAGTGTCCCCATCTATGACGGAAGGGAGAGGCCTGCTGGTGGTCAGAATCACTCCGACACGGTCCCAAACACCCATCTCTGTTACCTTGGGGTTCCGTGATAGCCAGTGGCCGGGCTCTGCCCAAGCCCGTCTCGATGGGCCGGGGAACCACTGCAGGCCGCTGTCTGAGGCTATGTCCACTCAAGCCCAGCCCAGGCTCTGGTGGTTATGAGGATGGTCTGGCCAGCAGACACACCCAAGGCGGAGGTGGCCATTTTTCCTGCTTCCTGCTGCCCCTGCCCCACCCGGAGACTCCGCAGGTCGACTCCTCCAGCCTCTGCAATCATGCCCTCCCTCAGACACGCCTCTCACCTGTATTCCAGCCCCACTTCGGGGCTCACCCCTTCTGGGGCCTACGGGCACTCCCCCAGGCTGTCCCTACAGTGACATGGGGTAGGAAAGACGCGAGCATATACGTTTGTATCGCTTGCTCCTAGTTTGCAACAGGGCACGGTGCACCTGCTGGAGAGAGACAGCAGAGACGGAAAGTGAGAACTCGCCCTCCAGGGGGAAAGCCACGCCAACAATCCGGCTTCTCCACGCCCTCGGGATTTCAGACGTGCACACACAGGCGCTAAGTGTTCTTCAAACCACCAGGTCCAGGACTGCGCAGTTACCCGTGGGGGATCCAGCCACCGTACTCACCGTGCCACCTGCTGGCCCCCTTGGGCCTCTGTGGCCAGATCCTGTGCGGGGGACAATGGTGCTGCCACTCCAAATTGCACGCCGCCCCCACAAGTGCCCCCCCGGGGCCACCCCCTGCCACTCCAAATTGCAGCCCAGGGCCAGGCCCGGCTGGTGAAGGAGAGGGCTGGCACAGCTGAGCTCAGGAAGGCCCGGGGTGCCAGCAGGTGCAGCCAGCCATAGAGGCTGCCCTGGCCCAGGCAGAGGAACCTCATCCAGGAAGCCCCCTCTGCTGTCCCAGAGCAAACCCCTGTGGGACAGAGTCCAGCAGAGGCAGGACCTCAGCAGGTGGGTCCAGTGCCCTCCCGCTAAGCAGCTCTGTGTGGGAGGAGCTGTCTCTCAAAGGAATGAGGACTCCTGCTTAGTCACCAGCATGGAGAGGGGGTGACAGTGCCACCCAGACGTGGTGGGCACAGCCGTGTCCTGGGAGGGACACACTGGGGTGTGAAGCCAGCCTCGGGGCAGCACGCTGCACTCAGCCCCAGCACACAGAAGAGTGGAAGGAGCCTCCCAGTAGCTGGCCAGCCGCTGGGGGTGAGAAGGGTCCCGTGGCCACGGCCGGCCACGGTGCTGAAGACCCTCAGCCCTGCGGGACTGGGCCGACTCTGCTCATGGTGATGAAACATCAGATAGCCAGGCACCCAGAATAACCGCGATGTTTTAATTTCCACCTCTAGGCCACAGGCTCCGCAAACTGACAAGGGCCCAGTCCCCAGCCTGCCTGCGGTTCGGTTCAGTCCTGCAGGGAGCTGGCTGGTGGCAGGCCTGGCTGGCGGGGCTCCAGCCTGGGGAATGCTGGGGTCCCCAGCCTAGATCTTTGGATCCTAGGACTGGGTGCCACTCGGCCTGTCCACTCCAGTCCCTGCAGCTGCCTGGCTTCCTTTCCTGGGATGATGGCCGGGTGAGGAGGCAGCAGGTAGGACAAGGATGCCAGCCCCAGGCTGCATCTGCACAGCAGGGGGATGGGAGGGACGGGGGGGGGGGGGGGGGCAGGCAGGCTCCCTCAGGGAGCTCCAGGCTGGGGACGACCTGGGAAGGGGTGAGTCCTGTACCCTGTAGTGTCCCTACGACGGCCAAGTCCGTGACCTGTGAAGACTTTCTACAGGGACGTTCCGCTTGGACACCAAGGCTCCATCACAAGGTGACCAACCCTCCTGGCATGTGCCAGGCGTCACCCGCGACCCTGTGAGGTAGGCTGCACCATCCTGCTCTGCAGACCAGCAGCTGGGCTCGGGCGGAGAGGCTGCGTCTTCCCAGCCCCCAGGCCTGGCAGGCCCAAAGCCCGGCCCTCCCTAGGGGAGACACAGGGCAGTCCTTTCTAATTAGGCCCTAGAGTCCAAGGCTCTGGGGAGCCCGGCCCAGGCGGGCCCCAGCATCCGCCGCGGCCCGCTATAGCTGATGGCTCTGGCTGCCCAGCAGCGGGCGGGATTGGGGCCGGTCTGGCCCTGAGGTCCTGTGGCCCCAGGTGGGCAGCGCCATGCCATTGAGCCAGGCGGACTCCAGGAGGCTGCGGAAGCGGGCTCTCAGCGCGGGGCCAGGTGAGCTGGTGCTGGCCACTGGGGCAGGTGAGTCCCCACGGGACCCTCCCCCAGAGGTCGCCTCTGCTCCGTCCAGGCCAGGGGTTGATGGCTTCCTCCCCAGCTTCCTGACCTTGGGGGCCGGTGAATTCCGAACCAGAGCTAGGCTCTCTGGCTCACCTCCGGCCACGGTGGGTTCTGATGGGGATACGGCTCCAGCCTCAGTGTCAAAGTCACCTGGAAAAGGAACACGTGGTCAGCCCCAGACTGCACCCCAGGACCCCTCCTGGCTCTGCCTGCCCCTCCTACACAGGCCTGCAGCCGGAGCTCCTGAATGACGTGCGCGCTTCTCCCAGGGGACACCAGGGCCCGAGCTGGCCTCACCAGGAGAGGCTACTCGGTGAAGGACAGGAGGGTGGGCTCTCTGCAGGGCGGGAACCCCTGGCATGGCCCAAAGTCCAGTGCACAGGAGAGCAAACTGAGATGGGGAAGACGGCTCTGCCGCACAGCAGCTCTGCCACCCCTCCCTGAAGGCTGGAGCAGGAGCCAGAGCCTGGACGAGGCTGCCCCGGAAGAAATGCCCCTAAGGAGGGGAGGAGGGCCCTGACCGAGAGCACCCCTCCAGCAGGGGAGCACAGGAATCCCTGGGGAGAAGCCAGAGCTCAAGGAGGCGGCGGGAACAGGCGCACTACACCCCAGCCAGTAGAGCGGGCTCCTCGGTTCTGGCCTCCAAAGTCCTGCTGGCAGACCAGGAAAAGGGACCTAATCCTCTCTGGGGCCTGGACTGCCCACTGCCTGGCGGGGTGGGGGACTGCGCTGCAGCGCCCCTGCCTGACCGGAAGTGCTACCCCCACGCCTTCCCTCAGGACACCTCCATTTGCATCTTCCTCACACCCTGCTGTGGTCTACAAGGTCCACCCCACATTCACGCTGTTGTGATGCTGTACAGGTGTTTACACCCGGGGCCAGCAGGCGGCTTGGCGGGTAGGGTGCTGGGGCCCTGCACCCAGCAGCTTGAAAATGACAACAAATAAATAAATGTTAGAGACCAATGTTTAAACCTCATCCTTTCATGGTGACCCAGGGTGGGGCCTGAGGGTGTGACGGGGTCATTGGGGCGGCCCCTATGACTGGATTGTTTTGATTTACATCAGAGGGAACGAGAGCAGGCAGGCACCAGGGACAGCTGGCCTGGAGACCTGCCCTAGACCTGCCCGCCTGCGGGAGCCTCTGCATGAGTTGGGCTCGGACCTCGGACCTCCATAAGTCTCCGCTTCTTCATGACCCACCCAGGCTCAGGTATCTGCTCACAACACAATACTGCGCCAGGACACACCCCATTAAAGCATCTGCCCCAACCTCCTGAGCACTCAGGGATGA